ATCAATAGCAGAATATGTTGTGATATATTCATAATTGGATTAATATATAGCAAAAAAAATAAATGAACTATCTTTTCATAAAACTTGCATAATGTTGAGCAAAAAAAAAGCCAAACACAGAAGAATATATATTCTACACTTTACTGTATAAAGTTTTAGAAGAATTAAGTAAAACCAAACAATAGTGTTTAATGATACACATTTAAAAAGACAAAGACATATGAATCATAAAATCAGATTATTGATTACCTTTGGTGATGGGGAATAAAAACAATCACAAGAGAGCAAGAAGAATAATGAAATACTGCTAAGATTCTGTTTCTTGATGATACTTCTATGATTGCTTGTGTCATGAAAATTCACTGAGCTGTACATTTTTGGTTTTTATACTGTATATTAAATTTCACAATTAAAAAGTTTTAAAAACATTCAAATTAAATCTTTCAAAACATGTTTTTATAATTTTTAACACTAAGTTAATATATTTTTAAAGATTTTATTTATTTATTCATGAAAGACACAGAGAGAGAAAGAGAGAGGCAGAGACACAAGGCAGAAGGAGAAGCAGGCTCCATGCAGGGAGCCTGATGTGGGACTCGATCCCAGGTCTCCAGGATCACGCCCTGGACTGAAGGCGGCACTAAACCGCTGAGCCACCTGGGTTGCCCAACACTAAGTTAATATTATAAATCAATAATTCATATGTTGTTATCTCAAATAGTATCAAGAAATAAGTAAATATTATGAGAAGATACATAAGCTATATAAATATTCTAATAGTCTATATGCTAACATTCTTATAGATGTTATTCTAGAGCTAAATATTGAATGTTTCTTCAGAATAATTATCAAGAAAAAGTGTCAACCAGAAACAGCTTACTCATTTTAGCAGTCGTGATACTATTGTAATAACCTGAAACAATTATATTTCGAGTGGACAGATAGATTTGGTTCTCTGTTAGTGTTATAGTCCATTTAAAAATTCAATATACTTTCATCCTCCCTCACTCTAACTTATCTCCCTCTTATTAAAATCCACAAAAATCTCCCCATCTCAGTATCTTTAATTATATCTGAAGTTTCTATTTTCCCCAACATTTTTGTACTGATGTATAATTAATGTACAATGTTAGTTTCAGATGTACGATTCCATAATTCTATAAATTACTCAGTGTTCATCAAGATAAGTGTAGTCTTAATCCCCTTTATCTATTTCACCCAATTTCCCTACCCATTTTCCATCTGGTAACCATCAGCTTATTCTCTATATTTAAGAGTCTGTTTTTTGTCTCTTTTTTTTTTTGGTATATCTTGTTTCTTAAATTCCACATATGAGTGAAGTCATATGGTATTTGCTTTCACTGACTTATTTCACTTAGCATTATGCCCTCTATGTCTACCCATGTTGTTGCAAATGGCAAGATTTCATTCTTTTTCATGGCTGAAGAGTATTCCATTGTGTGTATGGTTCTTTTAACCATTCACCCATCAATGGACACTTGGGTTGCTTCCATATCTTGGCTATTGTAAATAATGGTACAATAAACATAAGGGTGCATATAGCTTTTCAAATTAGTGTTTTCCTTTTCTTTGGGTAAATATCATAATGGAATTATTGGATCATATGGCATTTCTATTTTCTAATTTTTTAAGGAACCTCCATACTATTTTCCACAATGGCTGTACCAATTTGTATTCCCACCAGTACTACAAGAGAGTTCCTTTTTCCCCACCGAAACTTGTTACTTCTTGTGTGTTTGATTTTAGCCATTCTGCCATGTATAAGGTGATATCTCATTGTGGTTTTGATTTGCATTTCATGTGTCTGTTGGCCATCTGTATGTCTTCTTCAGAAAAATACTAAAGTCCCCTGCCCATTTTTATTCAGATTATTTGTGGTTTTAGGTGTTGAGTTGTATAAGTTTTTCATATACTTTGGATATTAATCTTGTGTTGGACATATCATTTGAAAACATCTCCCATTCAGTTGCCTTTTTGTTTTGTTGATGGTTTCCTTCACTGCGCAAAAGCTCTTTATTTTAGTGAGTACAATAATTAAATTTTGCTTTTGTTTTCCTTGTCTGATGAGACATACCTAGAAAAATGTTTCTCTGGCCAATGTCAGAGAAAATACTGCCTGTGCTCTCTCCTAGGAGTTTTATGGCTTCAGGTCTTACAGTTAGGTCTTTGATCCATTTTGAGTTTATTTTTTTTGTATGGTGTGAGAAAGTGGTCCAGTGGTCCAGTTTCATTCTTCTGCATGTAGCTTTCACACCTTTTGTTGAAGAGACTGTCTTTTCCCAATTGTATATTCTTGCCTCTTCTGTCATAGATCAATTGACCATATAAGCATGGATTTGTTTCTGGGTTCTCTATTCTGTTCCATTAATGTAGGTGTCTATTTTTAGCACCATTCTGTTCTTTTTCTTAAGTAAACTCTATACCCAAAGTGGAGCTTAAACTCACAACCCCAAAATCAAGAGTCACATGTTCTTCTGACTGAGCCAGCCAGGCGACCCGGTGTTTTGATTACTACAGCTTTGTATCTTTTTTTTCTTTTTTTTTGTATCTTAAAATATATATCTTAAAATCTGGAATTGTGATTACCATCTTTGTTCCTCTTTTTCAAGGTTGCTTTGGCTATTCAGAGTCTTTTTGTTTCCATACAAACACTTTAGTACTGTTTGTTCTAGATGTCTGAAAGATGCTGTTGGTATTTTGATAGGGATTGCATTAGATCTTTAGATTGTTTTGGGTAGTATGGATACTTTAACAATATTGGGTCTTCCAATCCATCAGCATGGAACATCTTTCCATTTGTTTGTGTCACCTTTAATTTCTTTTACCAATGTTTTTTATAGTTTTCAGAGTATAGGTCTTTTACCTCCTTGGTTCTTTAAAATTGGTATTTTATTATTTTTAGTACAACTGTAAATGAGACTGCTTTCTTCATTTCTCTTTCTGCTATTTCATTATTAGTGTATAGAAGTGCAATAGACTTGTTATTATTTTTGTATTCTCTGACTTTACTGAATTCATTTATCAATAGTAGTATTTTTGGTGGAGTCTTAAGGATTTTATATATATGGTATTATGTCATCTGCAAATAGTAAATATTTTACTTCTTCCTTACCAACGTGGATGCCTTCTTTTTCTTGACTGGTTACTGTAAAAATTAATATACATCTTTTTTTTTTTATGATAGTCACAGAGAGAGAGAGAGAGAGGCAGAGACACAGGCAGAGGGAGAAGCAGGCTCCATGCACCGGGAGCCTGATGTGGGATTCGATCCCGGGTCTCCAGGATCGCGCCCTGGGCCAAAGGCAGGCGCCAAACCGCTGCGACACCCAGGGATCCCAAATATACATCTTAAGATGGTTCTTTTCATATCCTTTCTCCAACTGATGGTGGAAAAATTGTTTCTATTTATGTATATTTTCCATTTAAATAAAAATGTCATCCTTTAAAAAGTTTTTTGGTGTCATAAATGACCTGAGATTTCTTTTAGACACAAGCAATGAAAGACAAGGCACATAAATGTTATCCTATCTAACACTTTTCCAAAGCCAATCTTTCTCTGATTGTTGAATGAAAACTGGTAGTAACAGAATGCTACATTTTAACAACTTACTACATTAGAAAGATAATTATATAATAAGTAACTCTGTAACCATACTACATTAAGAATTCCTACAAATCAATAAGAAGCATATACATTTTCAAAATGTATACAAAAAGGTAACTCGTATAAGAAATATTCACAGAAGAGGTAAGAATAGCCAATAGACATATGAAAACATGCTAAACATTAATAATAATTAAAGAATGTTAAATTATAAAAACATTTCCCTATCAATTAACAAAAATGAAAATGATCAAGAATATTCAATACTGACTAGGACATGGAAAAATAAAAGTATTTCTATACTAACGGTAGGAGTGTAAATATTTGTTTTTTTTTTTTATTTTTTATAAATTTTTATTTATTTATGATAGTCACACAGTGAGAGAGAGAGAGAGAGGCAGAGACACAGGCAGAGGGAGAAGCAGGCTCCATGCACTGGGAGCCCGACGTGGGATTCGATCCCGGGTCTCCAGGATCGCGCCCTGGGCCAAAGGCAGGCGCCAAACCGCTGCGCCACCCAGGGATCCCAGGAGTGTAAATATTTGGTGCAATCTTTTTGAAAGTTAATCTGATGGTATCCATAAAATTATAAACCCATGCACCTACCCTAATCCCCAGAAATCCCATTCTTAAAATCTATCCTATGAAGATATTAGTGTAAGTGTATAATGATATATTTATAAGGGTATTCATTATAGCACTAACATGGGAGAGTATTGAATACATTTTAGTATGTTCATACAATGGAATATCAAGCTCTCATTTTAAAACGCAGAACATCTTTGTTATTAGTTTGGAAAGATGTCTAAGATATATTATTAAGCAATTAAAATAAGTGTCATAAAAATATATATAGCACTTCATTTTTATTTCTGAAAAAGAAACTGTACATAGGTATATATGTAAGCATAGAAAAATATCGGCAAGTAAAGACACAAACTCTTAACCTATGGAGGGGAAGAGAATTTGGTTTGAAGAGGAGGAAGAGGGAAGATTTTTTATCTTTTATTTAATACTTTGCATTGTTTGAATTCATTTTTAACAAGTATATGTTTTATTTTAAAGATAAAGAAGTATTTAAATATAATATTTATTGGGTTTTGCATTGTACCCATGTTGGGGTTACTTTATCATTGTACTTTTTCATGAAGTGTCACTTGACAGAATGAGACTATTCTCTCAGAACCTCTAAAGGAAAACAAACAAAAACACTAGAAACAACACATTCTCCGCTTGAGTCAGCATTAGTTCATTTCACTGAGGGATAAGTTAAATCTAGAATAGATTTAGAAATCTAGAATGTTTGAGATTAGAGACCTACAAAAAGCATTTTCAACAATGAAGACAGTGAAGATAAACAAAGAATCAAACCCACCTGAACTATATCCAAAACCATGCCGGCTGAAACTGTTCCAAAACCAGCTAGTAAAAATGGCACAAGTATTTGCAGTGCCATGACACCACTGGATTCCTTTGGTGATTTCTGGTTTGTTTCCACAATGGCGTCTTCATCCCCTTCACTAGATGCATCTTCATTCTGTAGCATGGCAGCAGCCTCTGCAGTACTCCTTCCATCACAGAACTTGTAGTTGGCATAGTCGTCATACTTGGGGCTGCAGCTTCCTGGTGTGTGCCCATTATTGCCATGAAAAGACTGCTCTGAGAAACTGTGAAACTCCATGTGCTGCTCAGATCGACTGCTAAAAGTCTGTGCTGCTGTTGATAACCCATCTTGCCAAATGCCATTTGCTTTTTTGTGTCTATCTTCCTGGTTTTTCTGGTAAATTACTGGAACCATACTCAACAATAAATTTAAAAACTTATCAGACTGAATTGTATTTAAGCTTAAAGTCCAGTCTACTAAACCTCCTCCATTACTTGGACCACTACTTATGTCATTAGTAATAGATCTTCCTTTGCTATTAGTCATATTGTCATCGCAAAAGACCCTGTATTCCTTGGACCTCAAGCTTTGTACACCATTGTAGGTAAATCAGAACCACACAAATGCTGGTTTGAATTAAGATGTTGCCTTCATTTTGTAGGAAATAACGTTTCTACTAAAAAAAAAGGTGTATAGAAGTTCCACAGAGGGACTGGATCTGAAAAGAAGAAAATAAAATAATTTTTAAAAAAATCAGATTAACTATCTTGATACTTAAGATTCTCATATAAAACACTTATGTTCTTAAACCAACCCTAAGGTAATGACACTATGCTTTGTGGGCTTAACACATAATTGTTTTGAGCCATACAGCTACTTTCTAAACAGAAATATAGTACAGAACTTTGTGCTCAAATCTTTGTTAAAAGTGTTTATCTTTAATAAATATATTTTTTAAAGATTTATTTATTTATTCATGACAGACAGAGAGAGAGGCGGAGACACAGGCAGAGGGAGAAACAGGCTCCATGCTGGGAGTCCAACTCGGGACTTGATTTTAGGACTCCAGGATCACGCCCTGGGCCAAAGGCAGGCACCAAACCACTGAGCCACCCAGGGATCCCCCTAAACGTGTTTATCTTTGCTTACTTTACATAATTGATACCTATGTAAAGCCATCAAGTCTCTGCAATTCTACAGAGAACAAATTTTTTAAATAAAGTGATGGCTTCTGTGGTGCCTGGGTGGCTCAGTCGGTGAAGCAACCAACTCTTGGTTTCAGCTCAGGTCATGATTTCCAGGGTCAGGAGATGGAGCCCTGCTGCAGGCTCTGCTCAGCTGGGAGTCTGCTGGAAGATTCTCTCTCTCTCTCTCTCTCTCTCTCTCTCTCTCTCTCTAAAATAAATGAATAAATCTTTAGTGATGGCTTCTATTACTATACAGAGGTCTCAGAATCAAATTGTTACGACTCTTTACATATGTCAGTATATAATAAGTAGTAAAGAATATGGCATTATATTTTAAATGTTAAATAATAAACTTACTTTATTTACAACTTAATGTATCATATATTTTATCAAAATGTTATTTTTATTAAAATATGAGGAAACAATGATAATGTTTGCCATAAAAACATTTGGTAAATATTCTGAACACTGCTTAGGGCATTTATTTCATATATAAAAATAGGTTGCAATCATATTTGTACAACTCATTACAACTGATTTAGGAATACAATCTCTGTTATCTACAAAATAACTACAAAGAAAAGGAGCTACAGATACTCACTAAATGTTCTACTTTGCAAGCCAACCAAAAGAAAGCTTACAATGCACTTACTACTTAATGCTCTTCTCAAAGTCCGCTCTGACCCCCAATCCCAGAGTAGGCTTCTGAGTGGCTGGCCAGCAACCAAATCCTCTCTAAAGACTCTGAAATCAAGGGACACAGACACATACTGTAGCTAGTTTGACAGTGATAGGCACTGAAGCTGCAAGGTCATATACCACCCACCCAGGTAGAGACCTGACTATTTGGACAGCTGCTGCCAGAGCTACACAGGCTTTCAAAGTGACCCACTGCAATGGGTCTAAAGGCCTCAGGTCAGGAACACCCAGGCCTGCCTTGTACTTCCAAGAGCATCGAGATCAAGAAATTGGCACTTATTTGATAACAGATAGGTGTTCTCACTGCCCAACTGCACTGCCACCCACCAAGTGAGAACTGAGAATTACTACTGCCAGTCACTGCTTTTAATGAAAATTATTACACCCTTCAATGCTTGTTGTCAGTTCCTTAGAATGTCCATCTCCACTCCTTTGATAGGAAGATCAATAGCAAACAGAGGTGTATAGCAAGGAGGTGGTATGGCCTGTCTCATCTATTTCATCATTCACTCATTTTCTTCCCTTCCTTTTTGTGATTATGGAGGAATCTTGGAATCCTACTGAGAAACATTTTAAAACAGATTGTGGGACCCCAGATCTACTACTGACCAGGAATATCTATGTTTGAAGACTATACATCTTTCTTTTTAAACTCGCCCAAGGGATTATAGTGCAGACTTCTCGTGGACTTGCCATAAAAATCCAATGAGTAGGGGCACCAGGGTGGCTTAGTTGGTGAGGGTCTGCCTTCAGCTCAGGGCATGACCCTGGGGTCCCAGGATCAGGTCCCACATCAGGCTCCCTGCATGGAGCCTGCTTCTCCCTCTGCCTGTGTCTCTGCCTCTGTGTCTCTCATGGGTGAATAAATAAAATCTTAAAAAAATAATAATTCAATGAATAGATTAAGTACTAGTAGCCATTTTTTTGCCATTTGCAGGTTTTCAGTAAACATACATAGCAAGGCAATGTTTAAAGAAAATCAGATGAATGGAACTAATGTCCAGAGTAAGGCAGAGGAGAAACCAAGTAGTCCCAGAAAAAGAAAGACGGCCAGAATAGCTACCCGAGAACTTTCCATGTAATAAGAGGCTCAGCTATACTTCTGGAACTTATGAGGTTCCCAACAGCCTCATATGAGTAGACTGAGTGGCTTTCTGTTCCTTCTACCCATTTGCTTCTTTTTTTAAAGAGTGAGCATTTCACTGCCTCAAAGAGATCTTCAGTTAAATAAAATATAAAACAAACCTCAAAAGGACTGAACTTTAAGATAAGTCTATACTACTGAAGGGCCTGTCATGGATACAGGCAATTTCTTCTTCCTTTTGAAGCAGAATTATCCGGTTGATCAAAATGGAGAGAACTGGGAAAACTTGACCAACTAACACTAGATAGAAAAATGAAAGGAAGGGAAGGTAAAGGGTGGGGAGGAATCTCCCAAGACAAGTCCTCTCCATTAGAATACTTACAGGGCATGGCTAAGCATACAGTCAACACAGACTTGGCCAAGCGGGATCCAGATGCAAAGAAAGATACGTACAGGTCATACTTTTGCTCCTAGTATTCTTACTTTGGCACAATTTGGAAGGTAAGATGGAAAGATGGATATTCAACCAGGGCCTTTGTGCACAGAGACCATGAGGTGGGTCTGAAATCTAGCCCAAGGCTCCATTCATGGGGGGCTGCCTTCTTCTGGGAGGCACTGTTTTTAAGTTGACACAAATTTCCATTTCCTACGTGAATCTGTTCTTCCTCTATTTCATGCAGTTCAGGTAGGCTTATCAATCAACAGTATCCTACCCTCCAGGTCACATGACAAGTGGCTCCAGCAGGACCTAAGTCCTTCCCTGGAATTTTACATTTTTGTTTTCTTACTATTTCCTGAGTGACTACTAGATGCTGGGGTTACACAAAATTAATAAAACAAGCACCATTCCTGCTTCTAATGGATTCTATCTTGTGCTGGGGATGATACACAGCATATGAGCAAACAAATGAGATAATCTGTGATAAAGGCTCTAAAGGAAGGAAACATTTGATTTAATGAGTGAATAAGTTACTGGGCTACTTTAAGAGTGAAAGGCCTCTGGAAGAGTTTTCTCACTTCTCTTTGAAGTGACATCATTCTGAAGCTGCCATTTTATCAAAAGTAGCACCTCAAAAAGTCTCTTCTACCACCACCACCACCACCACCACCACTTGAAGGGAAGCAGTACTCTATTGTTCCAGATTTTTAAATTTTTAAATTTATTTTATTTTTAACTTGCAACTTCAGGATTTAAAGGTAGGCTATTCTATTAAAGTTCTAAAGATACTGTTTCTCCTCGGCTAGGTCAGTACTACATTAATATAACCTACTAAGTAACTGAAAAATGACATAAAATATTCCCACTGGCATTCTTTACCTTTAAATCCTGAATTCTCCGTGTTAAACAGAAACAAATCTCTAAAAACAAAGAATCTGCTACTTTATTCACTCATAGCCAATATTTGCACAAAATAGAAGTTGCAAATTAAAAAAAAAAATCTGGGGGAGGGGCACCAGGGTGACTCAGTGGTTGAACATCTGCCTTTGGCACAGGTCATGATCCTGGGGTCCTGGGATCGAGTCCTGCATCCAGGCTCCCTACTCAGTGGGGAACCTACTTCTCCCTCCCTCTCCCCCTCCCCCCACTTGGGCTCACTCACTTGCTCTCTCTCCCTCTCAAATAAATATTTTTAAAACATAAAATAAAATTACAAATTTAAAAATCTGGAGCAGCAGAATACAAGTAGAATGGTTAAAACTGTGTCTTGGGATTTTTTTTCTTCCAAAACTGCAAAATGAAACAAAAAATTATCTATACTATCATCTAATGTCAATGAAAATATGAGGCATGATTCAAAAAACCCAGACTGAGTGGCTGTATCAAATCCTGTCATTTAGCAGTTTTGTTCCAAAGAAGACAACTCTATCTTACTGCCTCACGCCCTTGTTACTCTAAATATGGTTTATGGTCCAGCAGCACTGGTATTACCTGTGAGCTTGTTAGACTTGCAGGCTCTCAGCTCCCATCCCTACCCCCAATCTATGAATCAAAACCTTCACTTTTAATAGCATCCCCAAGTGATTTGTGTACACACACAAGTTTGAGAAGCACCTCCCTACACATTCAAAAAAGAATCTGATTTACATTCACTACACTCAAAATGAGTCACACTTTCAAATGTGAATAAAGGTATGAGCACTGGTAATACATAAAACATTACTAATGCAACTGTAAATGTTATACCGCCTTGGAAAACAATGGGCATTATCTACTAAAATTAAAGATGTATATGCCCCACATTCCAGCAATTCCACCCCAAATTCATTCCCTGAAGAGACTCTTGCACTGTATACCAGAAGACACATAAAGAATACCCTTAGCAGCATTTTCGTACTAGCAAAAAACTGTAATTAGCTCAAGAGAAAATCTAAATTGTGGGATATTCATACACTGGAATATATAAAGGGTATGATAAACACAAATTTCAAAAGAGCGGTTGTATTTGGCTAAGTGGTATAAAAACATACAGGGGGACAGCCCGGGTGGCTCAGCGGTTTAGCGCTGCCTTCAGCCCAGGGCCTGATCCTGGAGACCTAGGATCGAGTCCTGCGGCAGGCTCCCTGCATGGAGCCTGCTTCTCCCTCTGCCTGTGTCTCTGCCTCTCTCTCTGTGAGTGTCTCTCAAGAATAAATAAAATATTAAAAAAAAAAAACCAGGGGGCTTCAAAGGTATTGGTTATATTTTTTCAGTTTGATGGTGGTTATCTATTTATTACTGTCCTTTACTCATACACGCTACATGAGTGTTTCAGTATGCATGATGTTGTAGACTATTTTACTCCCATTATTGCTGCCCTCCTGTAAGGAATTATCTCCACCTGTTGCCACCTTCCTTGAAGGGACTATGAGAGGATTAGACTTCCTCATCTCCACTGACACCAGAGTTGGCCACGAGACTTGCACTGGCCAAGAGAATGACAGCAGCAGAAACACCTACAAGCAGAAGCAGTTCAGCTATGTCTCCTTTTCCCTGTCATGAGACAGGCACGTTCTAGGTTACTGCTGCTTCCTCAAACTGGGTCCTGGGACAAAGATGCGTGCAGAGCCCCAGCTACTGCAGCCAATCCTCAGCAACTCACAGGCAACATGTAATGTGAAGAAGAAATAAAGCATTGTGGTTGAAAGCCACCACGAGTCTGGAATTATTACCATAGCATGATCTATCAAAAGCTACCTAAAAGTGTATCTTTAAAAAAGGACACTGATATACAGATTCCTGCCTATTTAAGTTTGGGTGAGTCTCTGATCTACTGAGCATTTATGGGTTCCATCTATGGTTAAAGAGTTTTAAAACAGTGGTTTGCAAATATTTAGATCTCATTAACCAGTCAAACTTCCCCTCAAATTTTACCAAGTTAAAAACAATCTTTCCCAAGGGGCACCTGGGTGGTTCAATCAGTTAGTGTCCAACTCTTGGTTTCGGCTCAGGTCATGATCTCAGGGTTGTGAAACTGAGCCACCCAGAGCTCGGTGCTTTGCATGGAATCCACTTTAGATTCTCCCTCTCCCTCTGCCCCTCCCCCTGATCGCATGTGCTCTCTCTCTCTCTGTCAGATAAATAAAATCTTTAAAACCAATTGTTCCCACCTCACACCTATTAGAATGGCCATCAACAAGAAGATAAAAGATAAATGCTGATCAGAATGTGAAGAAAAGGGAACTTTATGTACTGCCAGTGGATTGTAAATTGGTGCAGCCATTATGGAAAACAGTATGGAGGATCCTCAAAAAATTAAAAATAGAACTACCATATGACCTAGCAATTCCACTTCTGGGAACATATCCAAAGGAAACAAAGGCACTAACTTAAAAAGATATCTGCTCCCCTGTGTTCTGAGCACCATTATTTACAATAGCCAGAATGGAACAACCTAAGTGTCCACTGACAGGTAAGTAGACAAAGAAGTTGTCGTGTGTGTACATATATAATTCACACACACACACACACACACAATGGAAT